AGGTAAGAAAATGTGAGACTTCTAGTGAGTATCAGAGGACTCTGGTCCCCATCCCAGACCCTTATAGTAGAAGGAGCTGGCTGGGTTTCTATATTGTTTTTGTTTTTAAAGATTTTATTTATTTATTTTGGGAGAGAGAGAGAGAGAGTGAGTGTTGGTGGGGGGAAGGGGCAGAGGCAGAGGGAGAGCAAGAATCCTCAAGCAGACTCCTTGCTGAGTGCAGAGCCCAATGCAGGGGCTCTATCTCACGACCCTGAGATCATGACCTGAGCTGAAATCAAGAATTGGATGCCCAACCAACTGAGCCACCCAGGTGTCCTGGGTTTCCACACCTGTGAGCACGACTATTGTTTGTGCTCACCCCTTCCCCCCACACCACACTGCCGTCACGCATTTACTTACTGACATCCTCAACAACCATCATTTTGCTGGGTGGAGGGGAACACAGTGAGCTCCCAGTCTGGGAGCAGCAGGTAGGGGGTTAGGTGTAGATATTTTCAACCAGCGGTTGAAGGGGTTGAAGACTTCCTGCCTCTGAGGCTACCCAGATTTTTTGTGGCGGCTGTGTGGTGGACTGGGGAATATACAGGGGACAGCCGGATCTTGCTTCTGCAGACTGCGGTCCAGTGGGAGAGCTGACTCAGTTCTGCCAGATCTTCTGATTTCTGTTTCTTTTTTTCAAAGATTTTATTTATTTATTTATTTGAGAGAAAGAGAGAGCATCCCCGCTGAGCAGGGAGCCTGACGCAGGGCTTGATCCCAGGACCTGAGACCATGACCTGAGTTGAAGGCAGACACTTCACTGACTGAGCCACCCAGACACCCCAGCAAGGGCCCAAGTCTTCATTTTGCACGGGCCCTGCAAATTATGCAACTGGCCCTGAGTGGAGGGAAAGTCTGAGCCCATCTGGTGAGGAGAAAGGGCAGAGCAGAGGGCAGGAAATGCTTCAGAAAGGGGGTCACCTGGGGAGCCTGGGTGGCTCAGTCAGTCAAGCATCTGACTCTTGATTTCAGCTGAAGTCATGAGATCAAGCCCCAAGTTATGCCCGGAGCTGGGCGTTGAGGCCTGCTTAAGATCTCCCCTCCCCTGTGAGCTCCCTCTCTCCCTCTCTTAAGGAAAATGGGGGAGGGGCACCTGGGTGGCTCAGTGGGTTAAAGCCTCTGCCTTCAGCTCAGGTCGTGAGCCCATGGTCCTGGGATCAAGCCCTGCATCGGGCTCTCTGCTCAGCGGGGAGCCTGCTTCCCCCTCTCTCTCTGCCTATCTCTCTGCCTACTTGTGATCTCTCTCTCTGTCAAATAAAGAAATAAAATCTTAAAAAAAAAAAAAAAAAAAGGAAAGTGGGGGAGGAGGTCAGTTTTTCCAGAGGGAAGAGATGAGCAGTGTGACAGCAGGGCTCAGGCAGGGCGAGCCTGGGGGTTTAATCCACTGGGGGGGATGTTGAGGCTGTGGGTATGAGTGTGACTATGACGTGTGTGGGAGTGTGTGTGTAGTGGACATGTGTCAGTATGAGTGTGACTAATGTGTGTGTGTGACTGTGATGTGCTGTGATGTGTGTGGGAGTGTGTGTGCAGTTGACATATGTCAGCGTGACTAACGTGTGAGTGTGTGTGACTGTGATGTGTGAGTGTATGTGATGTGTGAGAGAGTGAGACTGATATGCAACAGTGGGTGTGGGTGTTACTGGGATATGTGAGTGTGCACGTATGTGGGGTATGGGAGTGGTGTGGCTATGTGAGACTGCGGTGTGTGTGAGAATGTGTGTGGGGCGTGGGGTGTGCAACTGTGTATGAGCGTGTGTGAGAACGTGTGTGACGTCTGTGAGTGTGTGGGTGTGAGTGTGTATGTATGTGTGAGTATGTGACAGTGTGTGCCTAGGGGGAGGTGGTGGCCGGGCAGGGAGAGGCAGGTAGAGTCACCGGGCAGTTTAACAAATATTTATTGAGCACTTTCTGTGTGCCAGGTGCTGTGCAAGGTGCTGAGATGAGTAAGCCTGGCCCCTGCCTGGAGGCCCTGTCAGCCCCACAGGGGAGAGAGACTTGGAAACAGGTAAGTGGAGCAAAAGAACAGACTGAAATAAATCCTTCACAAAACTACAACAAGTTTACTCAATTCACCCAGGAGGGCAGGGAAAATTAGACTTCCCCAGAACTGGGGGAGGGGTAGGCTGTGGGGAGAATCCGGGAACTTTCTCAGGGAGGCCCAGGGCCAAAGCCTGCCCCCCGCCACCTGCCCCCAGCAGACACACCCAAACACGGGAGGGGTGACCTCCCTCCGACCTGCCCCGCAGCACACCCAGTTGCAGAAGCAGATAAGAGGTGACCAGCAGCCCCGGGGCAGGACCTAAACAGCCCAGCCCCACCCAAGGAGCTGCACACCCCTGGGCAGAGACGGGCCCATCTCTGGAGTGGGTGGGTCAACTCTGGTTCCAAGTGGCTCCTGAGCTGGTGAGAGTTGGGGGTATGGGGGGGGGGCTGACACCTGATGGAGAGGACAGCAAGGAGGGGGAATGAGAAAGACTAGGCCTGGGGTCTGTGTCTGGGCTCTGCAGTGTCCTGAGAGGGAAGAGGGTGGAGAGTGATGCTGGGGCAAAAGACATCTTGAATAAGAAACATGTCCCTCAAAAAAAAAAAAAAAAAGAAGTCCCTTACAGGGAGCAGCGGAGCCCTCTGTGCCTCCCCAACGCCAGGGCTGCCCAGGCGGCCTCCCAGTTCCCCTCCCAGAGCTGCAGCATGGGGCTACTGCCATCCGGGCCCCCACAGAGGCAGGAGCCCTCAGATCTGGCTTCCCGCTCACCTGGCGGGGAGGGTGACCTTGGACCAGCCACTAGCCTCAACAGGGACACGGGGACGCCCAGCCTCCTCAAAGGGCTATGGTGTGGATAAAATGAGATAATGGGATGAGGAAAGCACCTCATAAACAGAAAATGGCAGGACAAAGGTTGAAGTGTAGTGCTGGGCCCAGAGCCATCTCCCAGCCCTTCGGCAGAGGATGAAGGGGCCCCACCGGCCCCAGGGTCCCAGCTCCCCTCCCCCTCAGACCCTCTGGTGCACACCCAGGGCTGGCGACTCCATTTTAGAACTGAAGACACTGACAATCGGGGCAGTGTTCTCTGAGTCCCTAAGGTTCGGCCGGCACTCCTGGCTAGGCAACTTCAGGCGACCAGGGTCACCTCTCTTTAGGGTGTAAGACCCCCCAAAATAACATGGGCTGAGAAATTAGCACAGTGCCTAGCATGTCTTCATTTCCAAGAAATGAGGTCATTCTGAGGCTAAGTCGCCGAAGGCTCCCCAGCTGAGAGGCGGCCTGACGGGCCTGGACGCCAGGGGTGTTTGAGGCCAACCCCTCCCCTTACTCTCCTCAACTAACTTGCCAGTACAGCTATAGGAACACTTTGCCCAAAATGGCTCCAGAAGATTCCAGCATCTGGATGGTGACCCCACCATCCTCTCCAACTTCCCTACTTTCCTTTTTGCTAGTGTTTTTCCAGAGCAAGCCCATCTTCCACACGTCTGGTTTTCTAAGCTCCCTTCCTTACCCGCAGCCTTCAGCGAATAATCTGGTATTTCTAAGACAACTAAAGAGCATTCCAAACTTACAACATGCCTTTTTAATGTGCTCTCTGGAATCTGAAGCCTTAAACTTAAGGAGCTTTCCAATGGAAGATACCCTTCATGAGGAACCAGACACCCCCTGTTAGCAAAACGTCCTCTCCAAGAACCTGTCTGCAGGGTCACTGGGGAGACAGAGTAACACAGTTCTGGAATGTACTGAGGATTAAGTCGGAAGAGCCCTAACCCTGGGGACACCCTCAGGGGAAAAGCTACTGAGCACCAAGGTGCTGTCCTGGCAGCCTTGGGGGAGTCACTGGCCCTGTTGAACCTCACCTTCTGCATCTGTAGAATGGGAGGGATAAACCTCCCTCTCCCTTTTTGGGAGAAGAGGAGGTGGGCTGAGCGGCCGTCTAGCACAGTGCCTGGCGTACACTAGGCTGGCAAACGTCTATCCCATCCCCCCTTCTTTCTCACCAAGTACTCATCTCCGTTTTGTTTTCTCCGTTTATGGCCAACACGGCTGGAATCCAAGGTGTCTATTCTGCAAGGTTGGGTAGCTAATTCTAGACTTCTTAGAGAGCATCGGATCCAAATCCCAGCCTTACAGCACGGAAGCAGGCTGGGAGGGCTGACCTGGCCAAGGTCACCGAGCCGATGTCTGGCGGGAGCAGCAGGGCCGGCCTGGTGTCCGGCTCGTGCCCTTGCTTGCACAGAGCCTGGGACACTTTCTCAGTCTCACCTTGTTTCCTTTGCTTGCCCTCCAGCCCCCGGGGCGGCTTGTCTGTAGAGCCAGCTCTCCTGCTCTAGGACACCTGTCCCTACCCTGCAAGCCGGCCTCTGCCTTCCCCTCCAGCCGGGTAACCTGCCTGCTCTGGCCCCTTCCTCCAACCCCGTGGCCTCATCCAATCTGGAGATCCAAATCTCAGTACACAGGGAGCAAAGACGAAGGTTAGAAAAAGCCCCAAAGACACTTTATTGGAGGTCTCTGCCTCCATTCACAGGAGAGAGGAGCCAGGAGCCCCATCCTGAGGGTCCTGGCATCTCCCTGCCCCTCACCGGCCCTGCCGAGGGCCTAGAACAGTCTGTTTGACCACGAACACGTGGTGGGAGAGGAGCAGGGAGGGGAATGTCTTAGAAAAAAATAGATCTCTATGTACATCTGACATATTTATAGCACATAAATTAGGGAGTGCTCCGACCCCTGCCTGCGGAGTCCAAGCACTGAGGTGGAAGCCAGTCCAAAAGCCGGAGGCAGGAGGACCCTGCCCAGCCCCCTCTCTCACGGTGCCCCTGTTGCTTCCCTGGGCCTCCGTGACTCAGTGCAGGCCTCTGGAGGTGGAGGGCACCGTCTGCAGCTGCTGTCTGGGTGGGGTCTGAGGAGGCACCAGGTAAGGGGTGTGATGCTGGCCCCTGTGGTCAGCCGACAAGTCACCTCAAACCCCAGGGCTCGTTATTCCAAGAGCAGGGCGGAGAGGAGAGGCCACAAGCCCCGGATCCCAGGATGATGGCTGAACAAGGTACCAGAACCTCAGCTTCTCTCTGTGGCCCGGCCCCAGCATGCCCGAACGGTGAGGGCCTGGTGGTCGTCCCAGGAGGGGCTGCAGGCCTCAAGTCCGTGGGTTCAGTCCTGGGTCCCATTAGGACCCTCAGTTCCGACTCCCAGCAACCTCCTCCTCCTTCCAGCCGCTGGAGTTTTTGCCAAACTTGTAGACCAGCCGCCGGCCATCCACCCGCTCCAGGATCTCCCGTTTGTAGTAGTACCTGCGTGCGGACAGGGGGGTCAGAAGTGCCCAGGTACGGGGCATCCCGGACTGCTGATGCCCTTCCCCCACCCCAGGCCCGTTATCCTCCCAGGGCCTGGCCCAATGGGGTCCAGCCTGAGCCTGACCCACTTCCGGCAGCTTTCCTCTTCTTTCCTCCCACCCTCCTTCCGCCCGTCACAGCACCCTGGCCTAGAAGGTGTCCATGGTCCCTGATGCCACCCGTGCTTCTGTGGCTCTTATGGCTCTGCCCTGGGGCTTGATCATGAAACCAAGTGGTTTTAGGGCTGGAAGTGACCTTAGTGATCGTTCAGGGGGACACTGAGGTCAGACATGCAATTGAATCGACTCAAGAGGGGGAGAGCCAGGTTCGGTGGAGGCCTTGGCTTACGCTCTTTTCACCACAGAGAACTTTTCTCAGGACAAGCCTTGCAGATAATGCAAAGGAATGTTGTCAGAGGGTCCCCTGTGTTTGCCCTGCCAGCCTACTGCTCTCTCCGTGTCATCCTTTAACCCACGAAGTAGGCAGCCACTGTTCTCAGCAGACAGGACTCAAACCCGTCGGGAGGGTGGCGGTCAGAGGGGGCCGGGGGAGCGTGGACGAGCCGTCCCGGCAGCTCCCACGGGGGCCGGGTGCCCACTCACCTCATGGCTCTGCTCAGCTTCTCGTAGGTCATGCTGCTGTTCTTCTTCTTTTGGCCCCAAAGCTGGGCCACCGCCTCTGACCGCAGGAACTTGAAGACGCCCTCTTGCCGGTTCTCCCACTTCATGAGGCCTTCATTGAGCTCCGGGTGGATGAGGATGTCCCGGATAAACTCCCACAGGTGGGTGCCTCTGGGGGCTGCAAGGCCGGAGACTTTGGTCAGAGGCCAGGGTGGCCGCTCTCTCCTCCGAAGGTGGTGGGGCCCCCGCTGGGCCCAGAACGCGGCCCATGCACGGGTGGCCATGCCGCACCAGGCCTGCTCCCCTCCCGCCTCCCCCACCAGACGGGGACTGCCCCTCACACAGCACAGCTGTTTTATGCTCAAATATTGATCCTGTGTCTGGCTGGACTGGACAGTGACTGAGACACATGACTGCCTGAAGGAGCCCACAGTTCGGTGGGTGCCACCATGAGAAAACAGACACACTCATAGGTGGTGAGAGCTTGGCAAGTACGGGACCAGAGAACTGGCCCTGGCCTGGGGGACGAGGGGACAGCTTTCTGGAAAAAAGAGTCCCCTGAAGATAAGAAGCAGCCAGGCCCAGTGTTGGGGAGAAGGGAGACTGCCAGCACAAAACGGAGGCAAGGAGCCGCTCGGGGTCACATCACCTGGCGGTTCCTGGCAGTTCCTGGTGGTTCCCAGCGTCTGGCTGGCGCGCACTGGGGCCTGAGGCCTGCCGCGGGGGCACGGTCCTCTGCCCAAGCCCCTGTGGCCCCGCAGGCCCTCCCAGCACCCACCAGCTGCCCCCTCACACCACTGAGGGTGTCCCAGCAGGCAAGACAGAGCAAGTGCAGAGAGAACTAGAGTGGGTGGGCTGGGCACCTGGGCTCTAGTCCCTGGGGCCTTCTTCCAGGGTCCTCAGTTTCCCCTCATCTCCAGGACCACCGACCCAGGCTCTGCAAGGAGGTGGTGACCAGTACCACACAGCCTCAGGCCCCATGCGCAGCCATGATGGCGGGAGGGAGGAGCAGTGTGGACAGCCAGCGAACACAGGAGGAGAAAGCATCAGCGGCACCCCCAGGAACCCGCCAGGCCTCAGAGTAAAGGGGGTGACCCCAGGAGCTCACCATGTTTGCTCTTCTTGCCCTCCAGACACTCCCGAGACTCTTTGCTCAGCTTTCGGGGCCGACCCCGTTTCCGCTTCCCATGCTTAGGATCCCCCTTCTTATAGTCGGGAAAGCAATCTAAGACAGGGGAGGGGCAAGGTCAGGAGGGGAAGGAATGGGGCGGGGGGGACTTAAGGGGGTAGCTTTTACCCAGGAGGAAAACCCTGCAGTGGAGCAGGGATGAGGGGAAGGACCAGCGCCATGGACACTGCCCACTGGGACACCCCACAGGACCAGGAGGCTCCCCGCACTCACCCCTAGAGAAGAGTTTGCTGTCACTGGAATCCAGGTCCACGTCACTTCCACCGGAGTCTGAGGAGTGGGGGCTCTGGGAAGTACCGGTCCCTAGGGGAGGTGGGGTCCGAGTGAGTCCCCCTGCCAACCCACACCTTCTGGGGGATTGGCTGCTGGGGGTCTCAGGACACACTGCCCAGCCTGCTCCTGTTCCTCCCAGAAAGCCTGGGCTCTCGTGCAGGGAACCAAGAGCTGCGGGGCATTTGTGGGGGAAGGGAGGCTGTGGTCCAGAAGAGGGATCTCACCTGCCGTGGAGACATCAGAGCTGCCGGGGGAGGGGGCTCCTGGGCCGTAGCTGCCCGGGAAGTAGGGGCTGGCCTGCCGGCACTCCTCCAGCATCTCCTGGCTGAAGGGGCTTCCCTGGTCTGGGAAGAGGAGGTAAGGGTTCAGAGAGGACTCAGAGGTACAGGCAGGGACACTAGGCTCCCCAGAGGGCCAGTGACCTGCTGTTTTTCCAGTTGGGGGAAAGTCTGGAGACAGAGAGTCAGCTCTAGTGCTCTGGGGAGAGGCAGAGATGGGATAGGACAAGCTAGGGAATGATGGAGAAAATGAATTCTCACCAAAGGGGCCGAGGGGCTCCTGGAAGGCCATACTGTCCTTCTCCAGCAGCTCAATGATCCAGCTGAGTTCATCAGGAAAGCTGGAAGCTGATTAGGAATCGAGGAGGGGTCAGAGCCCTGGCAGGCATCCCACTGTCCCCCCTCCCCTCAGGGCTTCTTTCTCTGTCTGTGCTCATTGGCCTGGGGCTCCAGGTCCTTCCCACAGCTGTGCTGGCCTCGGCCAGGGGTGTGGACCGGTCCCTAGGCCAGCCACCCTAACTGAGCGGGAGACAGGCAGGAGGCAGGCCTCCCCCTCCAAGTCCTGGGCTCCCAGGGGTGCTGGACTCACTGAGGTCCCACAGCTGGGAATAGAGTTGGTCCCCCAGAGGCCCGAAGACCAGCCGCAGGTCCTCGGGGGCACAGTTGCAGAGCGTGGCCCCGTCCATGTCACACCGTGAGAAGTCGATGGAGCTTGCGTCGTATTTGTTCTTCTCCACTTGGTAGCTGATCCAGTCCAGAACCTGGGCCTTTGACCAGAACTGGGGTTGCTTCCCCGACCAGCTGGCCTTCTCTGCAAGGGACCGCGCAAGCGTCAGTTCAGCCGGAGCCACCCGGACCCTCGCTGCCCATCTGGGCTTCCGTGTGCATCCCCCCTGCCCCCACCAGCCCAAGTCTTGGAGACCCTGCCCAGCAGGGGGAGCAGGGGTGGCAGTCACAGCGCCCTCGCCCAGCACCTCACGGTCGCTCACTGCCCCTCAGCCTCAGTACCTCAGCCTCTTACAAGTCACCCCAGCCCCTAGTGCTGGAATTTGCTGCGGGGGGGTGGAGGGGACCCTCGTCCCTGCCTGACTTCCCCATTTATCTAACAGGCTCCTAGAGGGCTGCCTTTCCCTTCCCCAAACACCCCGCCCCACCTGCCGAGACCCACCTGTGCCCTCCAGTGGCATCTGAGGGTTGCCCAGGGTCAGCACCAGGTCATCAGCCCCAAAGGTGGCAGCAGGGGGGACAGAAGCCAGAGCGGGGTCCTCTGCGCTGTACATAGTACTGAAGTAGTTGCTGAAGACGTTGCTGATCTCACAGGCTGCAGCCATGAGGCTACCTGGGGATGGAGGCCAAGGCTGGTGAGGGCCAGGGTCCTCCCCTCACCCTCCAGCTCTTCTGTTCCAGCCGAACCTGGGCCAGGAGGAGCCTCAAGGGGTGGGGGCGGGGCGCATGGTGAAGGTCAATATCTCTTTGGATACCCCCCTCTTCATGAAGGGCTCCAAGACCGCAGAGCCTGCTGTGGGAACCAGGCCTCCTGCTGGGCCCCCTCCTCAGTACCCCCCATCCCTGGCCCTTTGAGTCAGACTGGCAGAGTCAGGGCCACTCTGTCCCTCCCTGACACCATGCCTCTGCGACCTTCAGGGCACTCCCACCGCCCGACACTCCTGCTCAGGGGCCCTACAGGCGGAGCCGCTGCAGGTGGGTTAAGAGCTATACGTCCCCTCGACCCCTCTCCGGCTTCCCAGGGCCCAGGCTGGGCAGTACGACAGGTGGTGGTCCTACCTGAGGGGCGGAGTGTGGGTGTGGCAGGCAGGCAGGACTAAGGGACAGCAGGCAGGCGAGAAATCCAGGAGGCAAAGGTAGCCAGCTCTGAGGAGTCTAGCCCGCACTCCCCTCCCGCCCTAAATAGAGGCCTGTGGGAGCTCCTCCCCGAGCCCAGGCCTTTATAGCGCGCCTGGCGGTAACCGGAGCTGGTGGCTCATTGGACAGAGGGGATTTCCTGGCCTTTAGACTGGGCTTCTGGCCCCAGGTGATTTGCATATTTTGTGCCACTTGGCCCGGATCCTGGCAGGCGGTGCTGGGAAATCAGGCCCGGCTGGTTTAATGATTGTCAGAGTCTGTCATCCCGCACCCTCTGGGGTTGGGCACAGGACACTGGCCTGGGCGGGTGGCAGGAGTCGCGGGGGTAGGCATCTGTACTTTCAGCCACCCTCTGGTGCAGGAAATTCCTCTGGGGGGCCAGGCCTGGGATGGGCTGGAAGGGGGGAGGGAATGGGGTAGAAGCGGGGAGGAGGACTGCTAGTCCCCAAAAAGGTCTGAGGACAAGGGGGCCTAGCAGGGAGAGCAGATAGTGGGGTTGAGGGAATTTTCCTACACGCCCAGGATTCCTGCTGGAAGGCTCTCCGGACACTAGGCAATATTCATGGGCTTATATGGTCTAGCCTTGGGGCCCCGGTGTCCCCATTGTCCCCAGTGTCCTCTGTAGCCTGCTTGCTGGCATCTACTTCGGTGGTAGTCTTGACACGCTTTGCCTGCCCAGACCCCATGCAACCTGCAGCCGCTTCTGGAGAGACCTGGCTCTTCCTCTGCCCCAGCCGGAGCCCTAGGACCCTGGTGGCGGCTGCAGGTGCTGGGATCCACATGGCGGTGTTTGTCTCCCCTAGTCTCCCTGCCCTCGGCCTAGTTGACCTGTACCTGTCTGCTACCCTCTAGTGGCCAGAAGCCCGACTCCCTGGGTCCTGGCATTCCACGTAGGAAATGGAACGCTCCGAGTTCACCAGGCACATGTAACATAGTCTCCAAAACAAAACACTGTAAGGAATGTGTGATTGTCCCCATTTTATTTTTTTTAATTTTTTTTAAAGATTATTTATTTATTTGACAGACAGAAATCACAAGTAGGCAGAGAGGCAGACAGAGAGAGAGGAGGAAGCAGGCTCCCTGCCAAGCAGAGAGCCCGATGCGGGACTCGATCCAGGACCCTGAGATCATGACCTGAGCCAAAGGCAGAGGCTCAACCCCCTGAGCCACCCAGGCGCCCCGATTGTCCCCATTTTAAAACTGAGAACATCCTAGCTCAGGTTGGGGTGGGGTGGGGGGGGGTTACATGACTTGCCCAGGCCACCGGAGCTGGTTAAGTTGGTTAAGTGGCGGGGCTGGTGCTCTTTCCTGATAGCGGGCGTGTCCTGGCTTCAGGGTCCTCCAGCTCAGCCCCTCCGCCAGCCCCTTGCCCTCCCCTTGGGCACAGTGAGTCCTTTGTGTGTGAACACAGACCCCACTGGAGACAGGCAGCCGAGGACGGGGAAGAGGAGGCGGGAGACCTGTGTTCAGGTGACTCCCCAGCTACGTGATTCTGCTTTTTTCCCCATGGGTAAAAACAAGGTTGTTTGGACCTGATATCCCTAAGGTCTCTTCCAGATCTAGTTTTTTATGCATCTAAGATGTAGGATCTGAGTGTCTCCTTCCGCACCTCCTTTGTTAATGCCACAACCCTGGGTGGTTCGTGGCCAAGCTTAGCCTCGGTGGGTGAAATGGCTCCAAATCAAACAAAACAAAATGACTCCCCCTCCAGAGCTGCCCCTTCTTTATCCTCTAGAGCCAGATGACTAAGAAGACCATCTCCCGGAACCTTCTCTTTGTCCCTGAAAGTGCTGGGCACCTAAGAGAGGGGCTCAGGGTCAGGGGCCCCTCCACTGGGCCAGGGGTGGCCGAAGAGCCTGGGGCTCTGGCGGTAGGATTTTCCCCAGCCCTTCAGGGGGCCTCCCCCAAGGAGCCTGAGGCGGGCACACCCTCCACCCAGTCACTCACCCTGGAATGTGGGAGAACCGGCTTCTAGCCCCAGGACGGCTCACATGCTCCCCTGCCCTGGGGGACACCTGGCTCAGGCTCCAGAGGGTGGGATGAGAAGGATGTTTGCCTTCACGGGGCTTCACCAAAGAAATGGGGCTGAGATAAGGAATCCCTATATGGGGGCGCCTGGGTGGCTCAGTGGGTTAAGCCTCTGCCTTCGGCTCAGGTCATGGTCTCAGGGTCCTGGGATCGAGCCCCGCATTGGGGTCTCTGCTCGGCAGTGAGCCTGCTTCCCCCTCTCTCTGCCTGCCTCTCTGCCTACTTGTGATCTCTCTCTCTCTGTCAAATAAATAAATAAAATCTTAAAAAAAAAAAAAAGGAATCCCTATATGCTAGCACCTTATGTCCAAATATTAAGGTCTTCAATAGCCCAATAATGGGCGATTTTATGGAGGGTAAGCAGGAAAGATGACAGTCTGAGGTCAGTGCCTTGGAGGTGGAGTGGGGAGAAGGTTCTAGGATAGTGGTAGAGGAGCTGTGGAGTAAGCCTTCCCAATACCCTGCCAATGGCAGGAAAGGCCCGTTGGCCCTCCCCATGAAGCTTGCTCAGACAATGGCACAGCCTCATCCCTGGGATATGGGATGGCAAGAGCACTGTCTCCCAACCCTATAAAGGGACAGGCACACCCAGCAGGACTGTTGGGTGGCAAAGGTGGTGCGCAGGGCAGGCACCACAACTGCAGATACCCAGGCTGTGCACAGTGAGAGGTCCCAAAGTTAGTGGGCTCCGAGAGCGGCGGCCAGAGGAAGAGCTTCCACGGTGACCCTGTGCCATCACTGTGACGATTATACCATAGGTTTTCGTGCAAACAAGGCAAGACAGCCCCTGGTGTCAGAGCTGATAAGCCAGACACCGAGTTGCGGAGTAGGCGAGGCATCTGGGTAGCCCTAAAATCAGCCTTGCCTACAGCATATTGACAAAAACATCCCTGAAAGATCTATGGAGACAGTCTGCCATCGAATTGCAAGAGGAGATCCTACAACCCCGGGCCTCCGAATCCCTCTCTTCAGACCCCAAGTTCCCTTGCTGCTAGTGAAGCTCCTGGCATAGCAGGGGACGGAGGTCCTCACCAGCCTGCTACCTGCTCAACAGCCGTTTCCTAACTCTTGCGAAGTAAGAGCGAAAACAGATCTCTTGAAGCCCCGGTGCGTGGAAGGCAGGAGGCCTGAATGCATAACCTCAAAGCCAAGGACATGGCCACACATGGAGACTTGGTCGGGAGTGCCTTGTACTGAAGAAAGGCAACTTAAATATATTTAAATATTTCTTGGTGACCCTTCCCTCAAATCCAAGCTGCTAACTGCTGAGATTCCCATGCTGAAACCAGGAAATCAGAATGCAGTGCCAAGTTCTAAACCCACTCTATTCCTCATCCAGGATCAAAAGCAGGTGGGGCCCAGTGAAGGATGGTGAGAAGGGCAGAGAAAAAAACATTAAAATACCATTTTTTAAGCAATGGAACACATGAAGAGGAATGGCACTATAGGCAGGGAACATAGCTGCCTTCACAGAAAACTAGAATGGGGTTCATTTGCTATAAGTGGGCTTCGACAATACTGCCCTGTATTTTCCCATCTGTAGGTGTGGGACCCCCATCTCCTATGTCTGGGAGTTCCCTGCAGACAGAGAAGCACTGTCAGCCTCTGGGGTGACCCCCCCCCTTGTAACCTTCTTAGAACATCTGTCCGCACAGAGGACACGTGTGGAAGTGGAAATTTCATGGCCACTCAGGTCGTAACTCCAACTTAAATACTTTTCACTTAAAAATATTTATTAAAATAAAGATTAAACCTGAAAAACATGAGTTACCAGAATACAGCCCTTTGCATAGTACTTCAAGAATCAGAGAAAGGGAGGAGAGGGGAGGGGAGGGGAAGGAAGAGTAGGAGAGGGAAGGGGAGGAAAGGGGAGGGAAGAGATAAGAAAATCCTCTCTGCTCTTCCCAGAGAACTGGGAGGAGGGAGAAGACTGTTCGCCTTCACCAAAGCCGGCAGCCTACACTGAGAGAGCTGTGGAAGGTTCTCCGGTCACAGGACTTACTGATCCAGAGAAGTTTCCACCAGAGCAGAGGCCCAAGAGTCACAGACACCAAGCCCTGAGAACAGATTTTCCGAAGGGTGTGTAAACTTCAGGAATTTGATTGGAGAACTGGAATTTGGGAACAGTATTCTGAAAGCCTGAAAAGTCAGAAGAGGCAGAAGCCATGCCCAGGAGCCTCTAACTGCCCTTGGGCGCCACGATCTGCTGGACGTAGCTGACAACATTGCTGTGGAGCTGGGGGGCAGTGGCCGCGAAGGTCTCCTTGGCAAGGGTCTGGGCTACCTTGCTGCCAGCCATCATCGCGTGGTACAGTGGAAGAGTGTACTTCTGCTTCCCCTGCAAGAGACACACATACCCACGGCCTGAGCGGCCTGCTCAGTGAGTCGGCACAGCCCCAACCCCAGGGTCACCCTAACAGCCGGCCTGCTCAGGAGCCAAAGGGGATGTGGCTATCAGGGCTGGAACGAGGAGGGTCCCAGGCAGGCATGCTCTTACTCTGGTATCTTCTTGGGGGCCAAAGATCCCTGTAGGTAGGTCTTGGTATCCACTCCAATCCATGCTAGCACAGGGGTGTCTACACTCTTTTTTTTTTTTTTTTTTAAGTAGGCTCCTTAGAGTGGAGCCCAGCACAGGGCCTGAACTCAAGACTGAGATCAAGACCTGAGCTGATAGCACATTAAAACGGAGGGCCGCGTAAGGCCCAACTGCAGGCAAGCACCAGAAAACCCACAATTGTCAAATCTGCACCAATGTGAGAATGCCATGTCACAAAGCTCCTCAAGTCCAGAGACTTGGAGAAGCCTAAGGAGGGCTCAGAACTCCTCCAGACAGGAACGCAGCTCCCAGCGCCAATAGAGGGGGGCATCTGAGTGCTGCTTTGGACCCAGCCCCGTCCTGCCCCAGGCTCGGAGGCACTCCAGCCCTTCCCCAGCAGGACCACTGCTGGCCTCGGAGCCCTCCCGGGTGGTGGGCTTCCCTAGGAAGCAGGCACCTATGGCCTTACCCTCCACTCACCTCTG